TTTTACAATATTTTATTCATTCAATTTTATTCATTTTATTTTATTTTATTTATTCTATTTTATTATTCTATTTTATTCATATTATTTTACAATATTATATTTATTCTATTTAATTCATATTACTTTACAATGTTCGAGTTATATTCATTCAATTTTATTCATTTTATTTTATTTTATTTATTCTATTTTATTCATATTATTTTCCAATATTTTATTTATTCAATTTTATCCATTTTATTTTGTTTTATTTATTCTAGCAGTGAGAAATCTCGAATGAAAGTTGGCCAACTTTGACTGACGATAACTCCGCGAAAAATCATCGCAGGATGATGACTCTTTTTTTTAAATTAAAGCTTGAAACTTCTGCTTTGAAACACCCTTTCTAGATTTTGAGTTTGAGCTTAATATAATCATTTATATGTAATAACATTCATATGTTATTTCTAATTATAGAAAACCACCCCTTTTCGTGATGCCATGTTTATCAAATTGAAGATTGTCAAGTTTGACGAGCTGCACTAACTTTGTCAAATTTTTCTCGGAGACGCCGTTTCCACTGAAATGAAGCTCGATCCTTCCCCTTTAATTTAGAGAAAATAAAACGTAGCTGCGATTTTTATTCGCGAAGTTGCAGCACTTTGAATTAACCCTTGTCAATCTCGTCCGTCGATCACCTCGAAAGGGGTGGCTTTTTCATGGTTACATTTAAATGATTACAGTGGCGTAGGTGCGTCGATTATAAAATTGAGAAAGGCTGTCTTAAAGTAGAGACTTCAAGCTTTAATTAAAAAATTACGTCATCATCCTACAATGATTTCTCGCGGAGTTATCGTCGGTCAAAGTTGATCTATTCTTATTATTATTCTCGGTAAATTTTTTCCATGCTAAATAAAGTGATTGAAGAGCGAAATAAAACAGCTCTCGACCGCCGCGTCTCGCAATTAACGGAGAAATGTTTCTATTCTGCATAAAAAGTCGCGGCCAGCCGTTTAATTTTCTTTTCGCAGCGAATTAACGCCGTTGAAAAGTTCGTCGGAGTCGTGTAAAAAGGAGCGAGTTTTCTAGGGCAACAATCGAGCCGACCGGCTCGTATCCTATTGAAACTAATTGAAGAAATCGAGAACTTTCGAGAAACGGTATCATTGTCGGCTCGCGTGCGACTCATAATGAGTCGTGAATTTTGAAAGGAAAGATCGATTCTCGCTTGTCCGTCGCCGAAGTATCCGCGCGTCATCGTGCAAATGGAAACGCGGGGCACTTCTGCGACGATAAAATCCGACTTTCTAACATCGCGACAGGATCCAGATGCGTGTGTCCGCTATTTTCATCGCGGACCGCGCATTTTTTCCCCATTTTTCTTGTCAGATACAACGCGCTTAATACGCTCATGACTTTCATTATCAGCTTTCGTGCGCGTTAGATTATCACCGGGAACTTTCACCGGGCTTATCGAGCCCGGGACCATAAACGTCGTCACGCTGCGAGTCACAATGAGACTCTGGATCCGCGGCGGCCCGATCAAACGAATCATATCCCGGAAAAGATCTGTTTCTCGCTTCGCAGTTCACATTTTCTTTCGGATTCGGCAACGTTCGCTTCGCGAGCGGTCGAGAATCGCCGATGATCAAACGGCCGTAACTCCGTCACAAGCTGTCCTAAAATCACGAATTATATCTCGAATTAAAGCTTGGAGTTTCTACTTTACGATAGCTTATTCTAATTTCTAATATCATGCGACACCGTGGCGTATTCGCTCCTCGTCGCGTACCACTGAATCATCCCAACGCCGACGGCGCATGTTGCATTCAATTCGATGCAATTCCCGAAGAAAAAATCGCAGCGACTGAATCTTGCCCTTGAATCAAAGAGGAAGGTCCAAGGTTCGCGACGATGTAGGCGGAGGGCTCGAGAAAAATTCGTGCGCGTCTATAGAAGGCGTCGAATTGTGCACATTTTCTGAGGTCATTTTGAGTAATTAGTACGCGCATGGAAGCTTCGTAACTTCGGGCCTAAACGGACCCGAGGTCCGCCATCCGGGGATTAAAAAGCTCTGTGAAATAGTTAAGAATAGTCCGAGCAGGTCTGCTTTGGCGAGGAAGGCGAAAAAGTCCGTGGAACGCGGGGCTCTCGTCGAAGGAAACGTCGAAGCGAAACGAACGCGAGAGCGAACTCATCGTCCTGCGGCCGTCCGGGGCGAGGCTGTTTACTTTTCCCCGTTCGGGCAGATTACCGGATCAAGGCCACGCAAAGGTTGTTCCACTTTGTGTCCCAGGTGAGCGAGCGGACGCGGTCAGGTGTACGCAGTCGGTCACCGCTCCGCGGCTCCGAATCGTCCGGCCGCCGTTCCGAGGACCCGTTCGCGTCTCGCGACGGCTATTCTCGGCGTCTTTCCCGCTATTTTATGCGCCCGGTCGAAACGTCGCCGCCGGATTACTCGTGGCCGTCGCATAAATTCGATGGGACATCGACTCCAGCGAGCAGCGTAATTTACTGCGACTCGCTCGAAACCACCAAAGAAAGTTGGCACATCCGCGTCCGACGATTTCGGCCCGGCGAATACATTACCGGCGACGATGGGAACGTTCCTTGAACTTTATTGGCCCGTTTCCGCGATGCCCGTAATTACACGGCCCGCCGGGCCCATCGGAGTTTCTCCTAATTAAGGAGTCCTAGCTGAAGTTTTGGCAATACCGAGGTGGCTGGTCTGTGGCGTGATCGCGGGTAAAAAAGACTATTTTGGAGAGATCTGTTCTGGACGCTGAGAGTTTTTATTTTTATTAAATAAATAAATAAATAAATAATAAGGAGGAGGAGATGATATAGAAATGCTTGTTACGGTGTCCTTTTTTGGTAATAAGGAAGGTTTAGTGGTTATGTTGTATGGAGGGCGCGTAAAGTAGTTGATAGAAAAATGGATAACTCGTAGGTGGTCGGTTGGTACGTTAAATAATTATTAATTATTTTTAGTGCTATTTACTTTTGTCGTCAAAAGGATTCTTTTAAGTACTGGCAAGATCAGTGACATTTTTTTGGTGGGAGTAGTCGAAGGCTAATGGATTAACCGTCGGGAGTAACCATCAGAGGTAATACGAAAGGCTTAGTTACTGATAAGATCTACGACATTTTTTCATTTGAAATTGTCGAAGAATTAATGGACTGTTGGGAGTAACCGTTGGGAATAATCGTTGGGAATAACCGTTGGGATTAGCCCTTGGGATTAACCGTCGGGTGTAACCGTAGGAGGTAAACCTAAAGGCTTAATTATTGATAAGATCTAGGAGATTTCTGCACTGGGAATTGTCGAAGGATTAATGGATCGTTGGCGTTAACCGTTGGGAGTAGCCTTTGAGAGCAGTACTCGGGAGTAACAGCTGGGAGTAATCATTAGAGGTAGCCCAAAAGGCTTCGTTCCTCACAAGAGTTATGATATTTCTTCAGTGAGGGGTTAGTAGTCTAAGGATTAATAGACTCTTGGGGCTAACCGTTGGAAGTAATCGTTGAGAATAACCATTGAGAGTAGCCCTTGGGATTAACCGCCGGGTGCAACCCTAGGAAGTATTCATAAAGGCTTAGTTACTAATAAAATCGACGACATTTGTTCAGTGGGAATAGTCAAAGGGTTAATGGACTATTGGGGCTAACCGTTGGGAGTAACCGTTGGGAGTAGCCCCTGGGATTAACCGCCGGGTGTAACCCTAGGAAGTAATCATAAAGACTTAGTTACTAATAAAATCAACGACATTTCTTCAGTGGGAATAGTCGAAGGGTTAATGGACCATTTTGAGGCTAACCGTTGGGAGTAGCCCTTGGGAGTAGTGCTTGGGATTAACCGTCGGGAGTAACAGATGGAGGTAACCCCAAAGTAGTTGCTGGTAAAATATACAACATTTCTTGATTAGTAATAGTCGAAGGGTTCATGGATCATTGAGGTTAACCGCTGGGAGTAACCACTGGGAGTAGCCCTTCAGACTAGCCCTTGGGTGCAATCGTTGGGTTTAACCGTTGGCAGTAACCATCCGAGGTAACCCAAAAGGATTGGTTACAGGATAAGACTACGACATTTCTTCACTGGAAATTGTCGAAGGATTAATGAATCGTTAGGGCTAAACGTTGGGTTTAACCGTTTGGAGTAGTCTTTGGGAGTAATCCATGGGAATAACCGTTGGTGGTAACCTTAAAGGCTCAGTTACTAATAAGATCTACGACATTTCTTCATTAAGTGTAATTATTTGGAGTAACCGTTGGGACTAACCGTTGGGTATAATCCTTAGGAGTAACCTCTAGGAGTATCCGTCGAGTTATTTTATTTAACCCAAGAGGCTTAGTTACTGATAAGATCTATGACAATTCTTCAGTGGGAATAATCGAAGGGTTATCTGACCGTTGGGACTAACCATTCGGACTAACCGTCGGGAGTAACCGTTGGAGGAAACCCAAAAGGCTTTGCTACTGATAAGTTCTATTAAATTTCTTCATTAGGAATTATCGAAAGGTTAATTGGTCGTTGGGACTAACCCTCGGGTGTAACTATTGGGCATAACCGTTGGGCCTAACCTTTGGGCCGAACCCTTGAGAGTAAGAGGTAACCCAAAAATCTTAGTCACTGAACTATGAGCTTCCACAACTAGAATGCAGGACTTCGAATAAAACTAGCCGTCGGTACTAACCGTTGGGTGCAACCTTTGGGAGTAACCCTTCAGAGTAACCTCAGGGAGTAGCCGTTGGAGAAAACCCAAAAGACTTAGTTACTAATAAGTTCTGCTAAATTTCTTCACTGAGAATTGCTGAAAGGTTAATTGGCCGTTGGGACTAACCGTCGGATGTAACCGCTGGGCCTAACCATTGGGCCCAACCTTTGGGCCCAATCCCTAGTATTAACCTCAGAGAGTAACCGTCGGTGATAACCCAAAAATCTTAGTCACAGAACTACGAGCTTCCACAACTAAAATATAGGTCTTCGAATAGAACTATTATCGAAAACATAACATCACCCAACTTACCACCGAAACCAGAATGAATCTCCTCGCCGTCATAGCTGCCTGGTCGAACCTTGTCCCCCAAATTCACAGAACACCATTCACAGTCACTAGCTCCTGGCGGTGCTTCGAAGCAGGCTCGTGCAAGAAGGAAGCTGTTTCCGCGAAGCCAGTTGAATTCGCGCTAGAATTTGGCACAGTTTCGCGCGCACTGAGCCCGCGCGATTCAGCCGGTTCCGACCTGGACGCCGCGCAATTGATTAGGGTTAGCACCCAGCGGGGCCTGGCGAGAACTGCGGGTCCACTGGCACGTTCGCGGCGGGATGAAAAATTCTGCGGCCGCGGAGGCAACACTGGTGGCTCCTCTGCTTTGAGCGGCCGCTGAATGCGCGCCGGTAACACGCTCCTCGTCGCACCCCGCCGGCTGGAAGGAGACGCAGAACGCGAAGACGAAGGAAGAGGAAGAAGAGGAAGAGAGGAATCGACGCGCGATGCCTGCCGGTGCTCACGTGGGGATAATGTAGGAACGAGCGTGGTTCGTCCTGCGCGTTCCCCCTTCGCGGAGAGCCGTGACCGAGAAAACCGGACGGCGGATAAGCGTGTCGCGTTCGAGAGGAGGAAGAAGTCGGCCAGCCGGCCTCCTCTCCGCGCCGTATTCCACGGCACTCGCGGACCAGCCGCGACAGAGAGGTGGTCGCCCCCATCACCCCTGATGTGACAGCGCGTCACGTTTTCGACGTGATAGCGTCCCGATTGACTCGTCCAACTTATTTTACCATTCCGCGCTCTTTATCGCCCAGTCGGGTCGCCGTTGCTTACCCTTTTCGAAGTATTAAGCGGTTTAGAATGTTCATGCAGGAAGACTTCGCGCGCCCATTCGAAGCGTCGTGATATTTTTGAAGCTGTGCTAGACGACTTGAGATTCTTTTTTTTTGATGATAGGACTGGTCTGATAGGCAATGATTTGAATCATTTTTGTTTTCAATTTTGTTATTGTTGTTATTATTGGTGTATAGTTATTGCTTGCAATGGCAAGGAAAGATGAACTCAGGTTTTCGAAATTTTATACATGTTAAACAGAGACGCGGACACTACTTATTACGCGCGACAAGTATTCTCGTCACAAATTACTGCCGCTTCGGTATGACGAGTATACTCGTCATGATACAAAGTACTCCAACTTCGATATGATGAGTATACTCGTCGTGATATAAAATACTGTCGATTCGATATGACGAGTATATTCGTCATGACATAAAATATTCCAACTTCGATATGACGAGTATACTCGTTATGACATAAAATACTGCCATTTCTCCATGACGAGTATACTCGTCATAACCCAAAATACTCCAACTTTGATATGACGAGAATACTCGTCGTGACACCAAACACTCCAACTTCGATATGACGAATATACTCGTCAAGCATAACTAAATGGATAAATAACCAATAGTCACTACTTTTTAAGCGCGACGAGTATAATCGTCATCACATAAAATACTCCCACTCCTCCATGACGAATATGCTCGCCACAACACGAAATACTGCCACTGCTCCATGACGAGTACACTCGTCACAAGACGAAATACTGCCACTCCTCCATGACGAGTATACTCGTCATAGTTCCGAACCACCAAAAACTCGGTAATCATGCACTCCTATCAACAGTAAATCAATTTTCCGTCCGCCGTGGAAGAGTCAAAAAGACCCGTAAAAATCGCAGCATATAATCTGAAATCTGGGCGACGATTCCGTCGCGTTCCGAATCCCGAAGCAGGCAGATAGGATTGAAACAGGAAGTCGATCCATTCGAAAATCCACGGGACCGCAGCCGCTGCATTGTCGTAAACAGCGGCAATTAAAAGCGAAGCCCGAACAGCGTGCTTGCGTCTCGATAAACTTTCCTCGGCGTGCCTTAAATCCTGGCCCCGTTTCACGCTGGTTTCGCACGCCGGCCCGCAGTTTCTAATGGCGGCCTGGCGAACGGAAGGGTGAAAGCGGCGAGCCGATCCTGGATTAGACGGGATAGGGTTTCGTTTCGTTTCGTCGCGTTTCAATCGGTTTCGTTTCGAGCTCGGCCGCCCGTTAAAACCGGCAATCAGCGTTCGTCACTCGCGCGTCTCTCTTTCCGGGGAGTTTCAGCAACGTTCACCGGCCGCGGCCGGCACCGTAATTGGCGACATTTTGCGCGCACACGTCCGGCACCGGCGGTCGTTGCGCTGTTTAACGCAACGTTTAACGCCGAGGAATCGCCGATTGAGTCCCCGGAACACTGGGCCGGCCAGCGCTGATACACTGTGGCCAGACGCAAAACGCTGTAGTTCGAGAGCCGGATAACCATCTGCAGGATTGCACCGAGTTTCTTGAATGTTCGTTGCTGCGGACATTAGATGCTCGTAACAGTCATTGTATGTGACGGAGAGCGAGTCTCCGTGTGGGAAAAGGGAATTGTCCGGGAAAATATTAGTCTGAGTGGAGATGACTCTAATTCTGAGGGTTTTCTATTGTATTGTCAACATTATCATTTTGACCATCTTGTCTGCGATTGGCTGGGACCTAGATAGAATTGATGTGGAATTGGCCTGGGATTGGTGGAGGATTTGTGGTGGGGTTGGTCAGGGATTGGTTTGAGTTTGGTGTGTGGTTGGTGTGGGATTGGTGTGAATGTGAAGTTGGTTTGCAGAGGGATTGGTGTGGCTTTGGTATGAAATTGGCGTGGAATTGGTGTGTGAGATTGGTGCGAGTTTGCAATGAAATTGCATAGGAATTGAAGTGGAGTTGTGGTATGGAATTTCTGTGGGATTAATGTTGAATAGTTATGAGGTTCGAATTTCCTCTGAGCCTGCAGAGGAATTGCAGGGGGATTAGTATGGGATTGGTGCAAGTTTGAAATGAGTTTGCAAAGGAATTGTAGTGGAGTTGGTGTGGAATTCTTATGGGATTGATATTAGATTGTTGTGGGATTGGTGTGAAGTTATTGTGGGATTGATCTTAGATTGTCGTGAGATTGGTGTGAATTTGGAGTAGGTTTGCAGAAGAATTGCTGAGGAGTTGATATGGGATTGGGAAGAGTTTCGAATGGTTTTGCAAAGGAATTGGAGTGGTGTTATTGTGGAATTGTTGTGGGATTGTTGAAGGATTGGTGTGACATTGAAATAGGTTTTCAGTAGAATTGCTGCGGAATTGGTATGGGATTGCTGCGTGTTTGAGATGTGATTGCAAAGGAATTGTAGTGGAGTTGGAATATAATTGTTGTGGGATACTGGATTGGTGTGGGATTGTTGTGAGTTTGGAGTAAATTTATAGAGGAATTGCAGAGGAGTTAGTATAGGATTAGTGGGAGTTTAGAATGGGCTTGCAAAGGAATTGTAGTAGAATTGGTATAGAATTGTTGTGGGATTGGTGTGAGATTAGAATAGATTTGCAGAGGAATTGTAGATGAGTTGCTGTGGGATTGGTGTGAGTTTCATAATGAATTTATAAAAGAATTAGAATGGAATTGGTATGTGAAATTTTTGTGAGATTGATATTGGATTGGTGTGGGATTGGTGTGAATTTGGAGTGGGTTTGCAGAGGAGTTGCAGGGGATTTGGTGTGAGATTTGCAAAGGAATTGAAATGGAGTTGGTGAGGAATTATTTGTGGGTCTGATGTTCGATTGGTGTGGAATTTGCGTGACTGAAATGAGTTTGCAAAGAAACTAATTGGTGTGAAGGAGTCGGTGTGAAATTGTTGTGGGATTGATATTGGATTGGTGTGCGATTGGAGTAGATTTGGAGAAGAATTCTAGAGGATTTGATGTGGGATTGGAAAGAGTTTCGAATGGAGTTGCAAAGGAATTGAAATGGAGTTGGTGTACAATTCTTGTGGGATTTTGAAATAGCTTTTCAGAGCAGTTGCAGGGAAATTGCTGTGAAATTGGTGGGAGTTTAGAATGCGTTTGCAGAGGAATTGAATTGGAGTTGGTGAGGAATTATTTGTGGGTTTGATGTCAGATTGGTGAGGAATTTGTCTGACTTTGGAATAGGTTTGCAGAGGAATAGCAGGGGGGTTTCTGTGGGATTATTGCGAGTTTGAAATGGGTTCGCAAAGAAATTGAAACGGAGTTGGTGTGGAATTGTTGTGAGATTGATATTTGATTTTTGTGTGGGACTGGTGTGAGTTTGAAATCGATTTGTAGTGAGATTGTTGAAAGTTTGGAGTGGATTTACAAAGGAATTAAAGTGGAGTTGGTGTGGAATTGTTGTGAGATTGATATTGGATTTTTGTGGGATTGTTATGAATTTGAAATCAGTTAGCAGAGGAATTGGAGTGCAATTACTGTAATATTATCATGGAATTGTTGTGAATTTTGGATGAGTTTGACGTGGGATTGCCGTGGGTTTGCTGTGGTTTTGCTGTGATATTGCTGTATATTTGCAATCACCAAAATTTGTGTGCAAAATTAGTACAAATTTGAAGCAAATTTGCAAAGAAATTCCAGTGAAATAGATATGAAATTCATGTGGTTTTAGAGTAAGTCTAAACCGATTTTAATGCGCAATGCTGTGGGTTTGGTCTCACAGATATCCAAAAAGCTCTCAGCTCTCCGTCACTTGTTTCTAAAATTTAAATCCAACCCCAATACACACGCGAACCAAATATTAACCAAACGAGACGATCCTACGCGTGAACGGGATGCCCGATATTCTCCCGTTACGCCTGATTTCGACAAGTTTCAGGAAAGTGAAACGCGCCGGTACCGAGAAGCATTTGGGTCACGGGCTTGTTAACTCTACTATCGAAAAAGACAACGAAGAAAACGAAAAGATCCAAATGCCGTTGATCATTGCGAGGCCAGAAATTTTCAGCCGGCCACGAACGAAAGTGGAACGTGTCCCCGCGATCTTACTTTTGATTACGCTTCGCCGGAATGGAGCGGAGGATCTTTCAACAGATCCATTCAGACCTTCGACGGCGATAAACGCGGCTCCGTGGCCTCAAAAGAATTCTTTAAGGAACGATGCTGCGCGCACAATGGTACGCGAACGCTTAACTAGTCGGAATTAATCGGCGGCGACCGAAAACGGTCAACCTTGACACAGCGAAAACGCGTTTAAATAATGAAAATGCTGCTATATTATTTTTAAAATTATTTAAAATTATTCAGAACAAAATTTCGTGTATAGGTAGCACGTGCGCCTTCCAATTAAAAACGACTGCATTTTTGTGTGGCTTTTAAGCTACTTGAAAAAATGTCCACGAAAATTATGTCAGGATTAGACCTTTGTTATATTAAATTTTTTAATTTCTGAACGACGCAAAGTTAGTTCCAAGAAGGCACAAAAATTTGACACGTTTCAAGGTCGAGGTTATCAGAGTCGGATTCACTCTCGCGTAATATTTACTCTTACTGTTGCAATCTCACTTTTGTCAATGGTTTTCCGACGCGTCTCCGAGAACGGTGTCCCGGCAAATTGCTCCTCGAACGAGACGCAACGCGACCGGGAATGCGGCTCCGCCGAGACACTGTATAAATCTCCCGAGGCGTTCGCGCGAGTCCCCCTAATTTTCTCCAATAAATTTCGCGACGCAGAAGTACCAAGCGCACGCGTAAAGTGTCACGGGATACGAGGCAGCGGGAACCGTTTCCCATTGTCCGGCAGCCTGCGGCACGGCGGATCTGCATTCCGAAACGGCGCAACCGATAGCCGCCGCATAAAGATCGCCGTGAAACCGCCCGTAAGGTGTCGCCTCGAATAGCTTAACGACACCGGCCACGACATCTCCTCGTGCCGCGAAATGATTCCGCCGTCGGCGATATTTAAGGCGCTGCGTTGGTATCGATATGACCGAAGAATCGATCGCGGTGTCGTTTATGCCGATCGGCTATCGCTTTATACGGTGTCACGATACCTGTAACTGCGATCTTCTACGGTCATTTAGAACGTTAGTCGGTTCTAAATCGATGCCGTAAACTTTCGATTCCCCGAACTGGCGCAACCGAGACACTGGTCGTTTTACGGGGATGTTCGGATTGCGAGGGGATTTTTCAGGATTTTTTGAACGGGCGGGATTGAGCAATGAGGCTTAAGGACATTTACGGTGATCTGGCGGTGTCAGGAGAATTTATTCAGATTTGCTCAGGTGGTAAGAGTCTGCTATTTTTGGAGTTATGGCGGCTGAACTTGAGAAGTGTAGTAGTGCAGTAACTGCATATTTTTCAAATTTTATTCGGAGAATATGTTCGAGATGAATTTTGAATTGAATTTTAGTCGAAGAATTTATTCGAATATTATTCGAATAGAATTTTATTCGACGAAATAACTCGAAATATTACTCGAATAGAATTTTATTTGACTCAAAATATTACTCGAATAATATTTGATTGGCAGAATTGATTCGAAGTATTACTCGAATTAAATTTTACTCGACG